AAAATCAGAGAGAAAACCATTATTTATAGTAAAAACAAGCAAAGGAATTTGCGTAACAAAGAGAACAACTGGAAGCGCGTATTGATAAAACCCTTGATCAAAGCATTTTGCTGCAATATGAGCAAGTAAAAAATGAACTGGAAAAATTGGTTGCGGGTCTATTATTCGGTCACGGGTAAATTGGTATCAATGTGGAGAAAAGAGCAATAAATATTTCCTAAACCTAGAAAAAAAATAATTATAAAAAGAAGTCCATTGACAAACTTAAGGATGGGGACACTCATATTGAACACCTTGCAAGATTTTTACGAGAATTTATATTCCAAACAAAAGTTAATTAATGAGAATAGTTATAGCTTTCTTGAAACTGCCCATATTCCAAGCCTCAATCATGAGCAATCAAATATCTGCGAAGGAGAAATTACTAAAGACTAGTTATTTGAAGCTCTTAAGAGTAGTCCTAAGAATAAAACCCCTGGCTGTGATGGAATTCTGCCCTAATTCTATTTGCGATTTTGAAAAAATATCAGTGATTGTCTTCTGGCGTGCAAAAAGTATGCATACAACAATGTCTCTCTCTCCGCAACACAAAGACAAGCTGTGATTACGTTATTGCCAAAGCCCTAAAAGACCCACTTCATATACATAACTGGAGACCAATCTCACTACTAAATACAGATTATAAGCTTGCAAGCCGCTGTATAGCAGCAATACTAAAGAAAGTATTACCTATTATTATCCATGAAGATCAGTCCGCTTTTATAAAAGGCAGACGTATTACAGATAATATTCGTCTAATTTGTGACATTATTGAATGGTGCGAAGAAACTGGTAACCAAGATGCACTCATTGGAAGCATAAACATTAGCTATATTGTGTGCAACTGTCGTTATAATGCACGAAACGTTTGTTATATCATGTGGCGCTTTCGTTATTTCGAGTACTAAAATTGTTAAATTATGCAGTACAGTCTTTATAGGCATAGTACATCCACCCTCAAATACCACACAAAAATGTTATGTTATTATTATTATTCATTAGATTCACTTTGCTGGAAAAGGGACAATGAAACTACCTCTATTCAATGGGAATGCTTTGACGCAGTTAAATACTACAACATCATATGAACTAGTGAAGTCATTCTCCAAGAACAGATGTACATTGGTACGAAAGGAAGAGGTAGTTTAGATGAAAAACCGAAAGCTGGTTCATCGGGAACAAACGACACTTTGGATAAACCACCAATAGAAAAAAATGACTCACAAAATATCAAGAAATTCCACCCCATCCTGTTCGAATTATGTGCTTTAAGCAGACACAGATCTTCCAAATCATGAGTATGAATCACATGAAACACAGTTCAGTATACCTCGTATCCGCTGGTTCAAACACATGATTCATTCACGATGACATAGAACGAATCACAACCTGACGGTTGGATTTCATCCGCTTGTAATTGAAGCAGATGACATAGAACGTATCACAACCCGAAGATTACAAATCTGGGGGGTACCCTATATTAAAACCTCACACATATGCATTCTTGCTAAAAAAAATATTAGGCCCCGAGAGTTGGCAGCGCATTGGCAAACCATTCCCCCGATTGCGGAGACAGTGTAAATTTAGTATCCCCCTAGAGCAGACGTATTTAAGAAAAAAACACCCACTACTGCAGTGCAGACATATATTGAGAACATCTTACCCCCTACTGCGAGCATTCTCTGCCGTTTTTTTTTTTTGCACTCAAGCGGAGTTTAATCAACTCAAACAAGCTACTTATGGTTGCTGTGTATGCAACTCCTGTTGGTGTCATTCTTTGTTATATGGGTTCGCCAATTCGGGGCCTTGGGTGGTGTATGGGAGTGGTAGTTGCAAGAGGGGGCTACAGCGGGTGCAGCAACCCTGTGAGTTTATTCATGGGCACCCATTGCAGACATTAGCATTTAAAAGGGATTTATTTACCTTCCGTGTGGGCCGCTTTAGAAGGTAGAAAACACCGCCTTTTCCCGCTAAATTCGGAACGCATATGGGGTAGTAACGGGCATTTTCGTCGACTGGCAATTTTACCATCGCGGTGAAAACAAAGGCCAAAAACTCGCAGAAAACGGTACTTTGGGATGGTTGTTGAGACTCAACTGAACAGTGTAACAAGATTAGCCCTGCGTGTATAACATATATAAATTAGGTTGTTCAGGATTACTTCAAAGTTGAGTTTGTGTTTTCTCGAATTTTCACCTGCTCGACCAGCGTTCCACAGCAGGGCGCACAATGGTGTGCGTCTTGTGACGTAGCTCCGTCCCGAGGATAGAGTGACCCCCTGGGATTACAAATCATCTGCTTGTAATTGAAGCAGATTACATAGAACGTATCACAACCCGACGGTTGCATATATTCTCAGGGTATTCTCACTGGTTTCTACGAGTACCTTTTGTAATAAACTCGAATAATGAGGGAGACCATATACGGTAAAATAAAAGGCAACACTTTCGGGGCCAATATTTACGAAAAATCAAAACTATTTTTCAGGGGAAATCATAGGCAGCCGTGGGTTTAAACAATGAGCTGTGTTTACATCACTGTTCCCTTTAATCTTGAAAATACTGAGAAAATTTGCCCATTTTCTCTCGAAATGTTTTTTCTGCATACAAAATGAATGGACAGTTTCTCAACAGAAAAATTTCACTGAGAAACTACAATTGAATCTGAGAAAATTGAGGGAACACTTGTTTACATATTTTTGAATGCGACTCAAAATGCATATTGTGAATATAATTGGACATTTCAAGATCGGTACTTGACTTGGTCCTCGACTTGATCTGATTTGGGACACACATTTCATTGAAACTTGTTTTTGTAAATTATCTTGAAAATGAGACATCTGCTCAGACGGTCACCTCATGAGGGAGTTTGTTATACAAAACGTCTTTTGTATTCTACCGTTTGTACTGCCCGGAAAGATGTTTCCTGGTTTAGTAGTTAAATATTATACAGAATGCTGTGTGCCCTCTATAACTATATTTATTCTTTGTATTTTTGTTATTAAACTATTTAATATAATTGGTGTGATTAATGTGCCTGACAAAATAGCACAACTTAGGCAAACAATATATCCTTTCTGTGTTAGTCCGGTCTGTTAACCCTCTAACAAATTGCTACCTGATCTAACTATTTCATGTTCAAATGAATTGCTGTGGTATTTTTGTTCTGCATGTATTTTATTTACTACATGTAGTTTCGTTAGTACATAATTTACATACCAACAGAAAAATGGTAAATATTTTGTACATTTACATGCAGTATTGTGCGTCATGATGTCAGGCTTTAAATATTGAATATTTTGTTTTTACAGTATGGGGCTGGATAAACGAGGCATAAAACGGGGACACTAAAGCATGTGACTGCAGCGAGTTTGAATAACAAGAGTCAGTATTGTGCGAGTATTGTGGCCACCCACCCATGAAACATTAGTGCATTGATTCAGAACCAGATACAACATACAAGGTAAATTCAACAGAAGAAAAGAAAACAGAGGTCACCGAGGCAGTTCATCATATGAGTGCCAATAGAAATGACCCTTCTGTTGATTTAGATGATGGCTTTGTTGGTGACTGATGCTTCAAAGGAGAAATAGAAAAACTGCGAAAAGGTGCGGCAAGTTTGACCACTAATGAAACTAAAGGGTGTGAAATATACAGTTCTCTGTGAGACAGGAAAAAAGTATGTCCATTGTAGTGTGTGTGACACAAATGTTTCATTGGGTCCATCTAAACAAGGTCTAAGCAACTTGAAATTACATCTAACAACCCAAGTACACAAAAGCAACAAAGCAACAACATTATCATGACTGAGCATGGAGCAATACCTGTTGAACTTGCAGAAATATCAAGTGAACTTTCAAGTCTTTACCCTGACAAATTTCTTGAGAGGAAATGCAGTTTCACACTACAGGGGATAGGTATACGCAACAACCCATTCAATAACATAAAGCAACATCTTGAAAGCATCAACCATAAAAAGCATGAAGCTATTTCAGCAGTAAAGTGCAAAGATATCGCTTCTTACTTTTGTAAAGTACCTAAAAAGGACATTTGATCCAAGCAGTTTAATACTGCCAAACAAATATGTCATGGTTTCTTCAGGAACCAAGTTGCATATGATGGTAGAATATATTACCCCCAAATTTAAATGTTGTTACATGACATAAAACCAGAGGAAGATGACTGCAAAGTTTCTATTTCCACGAAAATGAGCCCTCTTTTATCCAGGAATGGCAAAACCATTCCATGGCTTTCGCACTAGAGCTTAGAGAACTTTCATTTTCCTTTGCCAAAAAAATAGAACAAACACGCCTCTCCGACGCATTCCTAAGTATTAGGCAATTTTTCGACATTCACCCCCACCTCTCACATTTCAGCGTCATTACCAAAATCGCCTACGAGGCATATTCCCACGTCTCTTAAGAACGATTCTGATGGCATCCTCGACCCGACAAACCCCCTCTGCCCATCCACTTGGAATTCCGCCAAGCTTAGGCAAAGTTACACACACTCTACTCCCCCACACAAGGGACAGTCAAAAAAACGACGGGCCCATCCACCCAGCCCAACCATTCGACCTACCCCCAAAACTCCAGCCACTCTTTCAGCAATACCACCTAAAAATCCACCAGCGCCACTCTCAATACGCAAAACGAACGCCCCTTCAGCCTTAATGTCGCTTCATATCCCCAAACCCAGACCCTACCGCAAAAAATCGACAAATTTTCCCTCCAAAAATGTAGAACCTTCAGAAAACGCTACATTCCAAACCAGCATGAAAAACAAACGAAGGAAACTGTTATAAACCTCAGTGACCACCCCTCCGAACCAGTGAACATTCCCTCATAAAGGCCTAAATTTCTGTCCTACCCCGACCCTTAATCATGCCGACTTTTATAATGATCTTAAAACTTTTTGCCGCCGCCTTAGAATTCGCCAATGTTTCGGTGTCCCTACCTCAAAATTAAATTACCTAGCAAGTGGAACCCACTATGTCACACCCAGCCATCGAAACACTTACCGACAAAATCCAATCCTTCATCCTTAGTACCATTAAACCGTCTGGCCCGTCCAACCTTAAACCCTCGAAACTTTCGGCTCTAAACACTAAAATCCAACCCCAATATTATCATTAAACGCGCTGATAAAGGCTCTGCAACGAAGCCAACCACCAACTCAGCAACCGCCTCCACTATAAACCCCTAATTCTTGATTTGACACCCCTCTCCGCCATCAACATTAAACGCTTCCTCCACTCCATTCACTTGGACAAAATTATCGACAAAAAACCCTACCTCTACCTCTGCCCGCCCGACCCCCCCCCCGAGAACCCCACAATTCTACCTACTCCCTAAAATCCATAAAATTAATAACCCAGGCCGTCCTATAATCTCCGCTAATAGCTGGCCCACCGAGAGAATCTCTGAATTCGTCGAACATTTCCTACAACCTATCGTTTCGGCACTCCCCTCCCATATCAAAGACACGTCCCATTTTTTAGACATTATCAGTTCTCTCGATAACCTATCTCCCCAAACCATTTTCGCTACTATCGATGTCTCTAGCCTATACACAAACATTCAACAAAACGAAGGCCTCCACGCCATTTCCATGGCCCTCGACAATTCTCCCGCCCCTAATCCTCACCAAACTTGTCCTCACTCAGAACTATTTCCTTTTTGATAACCAACCCTACCACCAAACACACGGTACCGCCGTGGGAACTAGGATGGCGCCCTTTTTCGCCAATATTTTCATGTCCAACATCCTAGATAATTCTCCCCTTAAACCACTCGTTTGGCGCAGATACATCGATGATATTTTTATTATTTGGCAACACCCGCACAAAGATCTCATGTCCTTCCTCTCCCACCTCAATTCGGTCCACCTCACTATCAAATTCACCCACTCCCTGTCCCATAGATCAATTCCGTTTCTCGACACCATCATTTACAAGAACCCAAATTTTCTCTCCACTGGCCGCCTTTCGTCCAACCTTTTTGTTAAGCCCACTGATTCCCACCAATTTCTCCACGCAAATTCCGCCCATCCCAAACACTGCATCGACTCCATTGCCATTGGCCAAACACTTTGAATTAAACGTATAGTGTCAGAGACATTGAACCGCCACCACCATTTGCGCCATTTAGC